AAAAAAAAAAAAAAAAGAGGTCAACCAACACTGACCCACATTCAGACACGATGAACCCCACCACGTGTCACTCCATACCTGCTCTACTACCGGATGCTGATATTGATACTCTACTGTATAATCCCCTTTACATGAGACCATTCAGGGGAACAATGTGAAGATAAAACACCTTTGAACTGTGAGACACGAATCGGTACTAACAGCCAATGAAAATGCTTTTCAGACATGACTCAGGTTTTTGTTTTTATGACAGCTGTGTTTACATTAAAAATATGTGTTGCCATAAGTTCTAAATATTGCCCAATGTTGGTTGTTGTATACAGTAATTTAATTAAATGGATACTTTCAGCAACTGTGGCTTTGTTGTACTATTATAAGTTGGGAGCCATTTGAAATCTAAATGCTGTGTATACAAGTTCATTTTAAAAAAAAAAAAAAAGAGAAACAATGCAAAGGCACGGAGGTGAAAGAGGTGAAAAGCACAAAACAATCAGCTGACAGACAAGAAAATTGCCCAATTTGAGTGTTGTGGGACAAAAGAGGCTGCTGACAAAGATGTAACTGAAGTCTGTGGTGTAACAAAAGCCTTTGAATATGCTCCACCTTGCTAATCATCTCCTGTAGTGCCACTGAGGTTTCTCCATGGTTGAATTAGTATGGCAAGCTGTACTGGGCCATATGGCACTCTGGCTAACCCGAGTTAATGGAGGGGGAAACACAAAGATACTGAGCAAGTGATGAGTTTTACAAGATTAGTCTTGGCCTTTTATGAAAAGACGCACTGGTAAATATTAGGATCAGTAACTGTGAGCTTAAAGTAAATAAAGTGTTGTTCGTGGTCCTTTGCTGACCTTGGCAGGAGTCTCCGCACACAGACGCTGAGAGATATCGAGTGTCGGTGAGCAGTTCAAGTTCACTGAACCAACTGTTCACTATTTGTCTGACTCAAGGAAACACAAATATGTCCTTAACAGACACCATGGAACTCGTGTTTTTCTTCCTTTTGTGTAATCAGCTGTTTAAAATAGGTGTTTTTGTTTGTTACCACAGTCTGGTGTAACCAGTTTTCTCACTTTTAGATGTGTCTTGAACAAACAAATAAACATCCAGTTAGTGGAATTTAATTGAGAAACACTTTATGCACAAAAGGATCAAAGTTTGTAACAAAAACTCTTAAAACAGCTATTGATGGGGCACTTTGCAAATATTTTTTCCTAGTGTTCTACTGTTCTACCTTCTACAGGTAAGTGACCAAATATACATTGCATTACAACGCATTGAGATGTGTTCAGTGTTGACAGTGTCTGACTTTTGGGAAATGTCACCAATGTCAAGTTGGCAAAGCAACCTGAAAAACTGCGACTAGGTGACAGTGTTTCGTTACAGAGTTGGTGCTGGATTATCAGATTAACAGTCAGGTTTGTATTGTCTTTTTAGTGTTCAGAGTCTTTATTCCGCCTCAGGATTTGTGTGGATGATTCTTAAGGGGCAACTCTCAACGTTTGAGTATTATTTCAGTATTTGTCAGCAGTTTAAAGTATTCAGTTTGTTTTCCTCACTCAAAGAGGCTCTCTTCAGGAGAATCTAAGTCAAAAGTACAAACTATACTGCAGAACAGTCAGCTCTATAATGTAATATATCATGATGAAAAACAATATTTTTCTGCCTCTATGATTAACATCCATCCACACTTTATACATTGCACTTTTTTGATGCCACTGCCAATATACTCAAATTCGAGATATATAAATATTTTTTCTACCTTACAAAATATGCCAAACATCTGTCCATCAGTGTTTATTAACGTTGTCTGAACACAAACACTCATTCAAGAACTTTGCCTAAATAAAAGTAAGTAAAGTTACGACTGATTAGGAAATATCTTGTCAAGAAATAAATAGAAATTAAAATAAAGCCTAAATCTAAGAGCATTCACTTTGTTGACCTATCTTAGACTGGATTAGACTTCATTGCGGTCCTTGTTGCTGCCTCCTCTGCTGTGCCTTCAGCGGCTGAAGACGGACGGGTCTTGCTGGCCATTTGGGGCCTCGTCCATGCACTCCTGCACGCAGGGACTCAGTGTAATCGTGACAAAATGGTACATGCTGCAGACACTGGGCAGCGTTTACACGGGTGCCAAAGGGCAGCAGGAACGGAGGCTGGTGGCAGCATGCAGGTAAGAGGACAGCTGTGGTTAGACCGCAGACTGGGAGGCAGGCGTTATGGACTCGCTCAGGAAAAGTATCAGGGTGAATCTCACTGACAATTTGTGTTGATTGAAGTTCAATCGTGTCCTGGAGTTTCTTCACCAGGATCGACCTGATGTGTTGGAGTTTCCGTGAGCTGAGAAAGGAATCCAGGAAATCTGCCAGAGGCGTTTTCCCGTCTGCAAACCTCTGAAACAGCAGCTGTTGGGAGAAATATCTCATTATTTTCAAGCACACAGAATGGATATTATGTTACAGCAGATTAGACCTCTTCTTCTACCTTCTACAACAGCCTGACAGTTTGAGCATATTGGATTTCTTAAGTATGAAAAAAGTAGGCTGACATTTATTATTTGTCTGCTTATGTCTCTTGTAAACCAGCTGTTCTCTTCCTCCAGGCCTTTTTAATAAAAGAGTTGGTGGCTAGTTACTTCCTCCCCAGAGGGTGTAAGAATATATAATAATGTATAACAGTTTCAGATTTAAAAGACACACCCATAATGTAAAGTTTATCTGCAGAAGGGACATATTAGTTTGCTCATGAGTTTTGCCCTTCATAGCAGAGCATAGCAGATCATTGTACTACAATAAGATATATTTTTTTAAACACAATCTCATTATCTACTGTGTCTCTAAACAAATTATTACTGATATATATATGCTAATCAAACTAATATTTATAAAAAAAAGAAGTGAATACTTACTTCACACTCCTCCTCTGCATGATTGATCTTCTTCAGGAGACACCACTGAGCATAATGCAAGCTGTATTTTTCTGCTGCAAAACATAGTAAGCAAATGTAAATGGAAGCCAAATTAAATATCACAGAAAACATTTCAAAACTCACCAAGTTGTTCTTGTTTGACCTGGATGATGCTTCTAAGTGTTTCCAGTTCCTTGTACTTCATTGCAAGTAGCAACTTAGCATCTTTAAATTGAGGTTTGTGAGAAAGACCGACTTTTGCCATTTTTTGATTTGAAACCAACATCTTCTCTGCAGCCCTCTGCAGCCCCTGAAACTGGAAATGACCACATGTAAGAAACAGTGAATCCACCGAGAGGTCTGAATGAGGAGTCATATAGTCAACATAACATATGCACAATTGTTTTTTGTCTGCAATCCAAATTATTTGTATTACAAATGGAGCATCACTTACTGAAATCCGTGAAATCCGACTTGTCCCTCAGTCAGACACTCACCTTGTCACTACACCTGATGATGTGATTTATTTTGTCTTCATCTTCCAGCAGCTCTCGCAGCTCTCTGCTCCTCAGAGCGCCAAACTGCACCGACAGAGACATGATGACACTGGATGCTCTTTGCTTCATCAAAGTTTGCTGCCTGTTTGTTCCTGATGCGTCCTGCTGGGGCGCAATGTGAGCTGTTAGTGCTGCATTCACTGACTGTCGGAAAGATTTACCGGATATACTATACAAAAATTATTTGGGGGGTAACATTTGGGTGATTGGGACAGCACTTCATTAATTTAGGCTAATGTAAGCATATATATATAACACAATTTAATTAATACTTTGATATAATTTCACGTGCACTGTTTTTCTGTTTATCAATATGAATTAAGACTTCCTGTTCATTTCTGTTGCAGTCAGTAAATGCGTCTGACTGTAATAAAATCTGTCCACAATTACAGTATAAATGACAGTATAAAGCTGACTTTTCCAAGCTGACAAACACTTTGCACACTTTGTTTTTTCTGCTACAAGTGCAATGACTGTATTCCAGGCTGTTGACAATGTAATCTACAGACACAAGACTCACGGCCTGATTGCATTCACTCAAGTAAATTTATTTTTTTCATAATTGTAATTTCTTTGTTTCCTCACTTTGTGACATTTTTCTCTCAATGCTTCTTAAAGTTACTCTAATTTGAGTGTTTTTTCATGCTTCATTTGTATCTAGATGTTGATACTCTAGGTAGTAGCCTATCTGATTTTCTTTTAAAAGCCCATAAAATGACTATATATGCTTCTGTTCTTTTTCTTCTGCTGATGTGACACTTTTCCTGCTGGGATTAATAAAGTAAATCTAATCTTATATTTTGTCTGTTTACTAAGACAGAAAACAGATTCATATATATTTATGGTTTTTCAAATTTATTGGAGAGTTTACAACACAGCCAAAAACAAATACACAACACATACATAGAAAGGAAAGGGAAATGTAGGGAGGGAGTTGGGGTAGGGGTAGGGATAGGAAGGGGAGGGGAGGAGGGCGGAGGGTTAGGGTAGCAGGAGAGGGGTGGATTAGGAGGGTGAGGAGGTTTCTTTTTATGAGAGCATTTTCCAGCTCCAGAAACTCTGCTTCTTTTGCTCTTTAAATAAGTTGTTAGAATCCAAAAGACGAGCTGAGGCAGCGCATGAAGCTGGATGTTTATTTCTGTGCGGCGCTGGAGCTCCTCTCTCCTCTCTGCCTCCTCATCCTTCAAGAGCTTCTCTTTCACCAGCACCAACAGCATCTCTTCCAGCTCTGTCTTCTCTTTCTCCCACTGCTGTGCTCTGCTCTCCCAGCTTGCACACAGTTTAGAGAGCTCCTTTCTGGACATTGCCACTGTGTCAGAGAGCTTTTTAAGGAAGAGCTCCTTCCTGAATCATTCAAGCTCCTTCTCAGAGAGGAGATCCTTCAGCTGGTCGACCCTCTTCTGCCACCTCTCTTCTACCACTGTCTTCTTCACCCCACTGGATTCTTTGAGAGGCTATCTTTCTCTCAGCTTCTGTTAGAGTGTGGAGGCTCATCTGCCTTCTCATGCTCTTTCCTCCAGGGAGTGATTGTTATATTGTACTTGGTTGTAAGAAATACATCTTTTTCAAATCACGGAGTAGGAAATCAGACATTTTTTTCCTTACAGGAGAACAGTGATCTGTTAAGGATACTGAGTGGAAATATGTCATATTTAAATACAAGTCTGAAGAGAAACTTTACTTTAACCATTAAATCAATTCTTCATGTATTGTATATGAATTCAAATACATAATGAAATAAACTGCTGTATATCTGATGTATCAGTTGGTCTTATGTTAAATTTTCTCCTTTAGTTTAATCACACTTTACACATAATTTTAGGACTAGGGGCTTCATATGCGACTATAAATGTTCAAAATTTTGAGGCAAATTGAAACCCTCCTTTAATGTTTGTAGGAGCACAGTCAATAAATAATAACTGAATGCAAATTCTTCTTAAATGTATCAATGATCCCTAATATATCGACACAAAAGGTCTTTTTGTATTTAATTTCTGTTCCTGTAATTGTCAGTGTCACAGGCAGTCAACTATAACTGCTAAACACGTGTATTAACTTATTTTTGATTAAAATTAAAATATATATACAATTTAAACATCTTATGATGTTATTATTGTTTTAATCTCATATTAGTTTTGTGTATATATATATGTTTTAAACTAGTTTAAAACAGTAAATGTCTATAATGCATATTAAAATATTTAATAATATACAAAACAGAGTATACCAATTATTATTACAGCCTAATATAAAAACTATGTATTTTCTATGTTCATGTTAGGGTTATATATCAGGATGATATGTGAAATGCAGCACAGTCATTACATTAAAAAATAAATAATATTGATGTACTTGTTTTGTATAGTTGTTCCATACAGACTAACCAATGTGTGTTCTTGACTGGTGGGGTTTAGCCCATGTGTGTATCTCCTGATGTCACCACAGCCCACTCTTCAGGTGATCACTGCTGACCGACCTCAGAATATCTCAGCTATATGCAGCCTCAGTTAATCCTTAAGACGAGCGCTGCCTCCCTGCTCGCCAGTGAAAGTCCTGCACTGGGACAAAGAGGACTTTCCCCTCCTGAGATCAGCAGGACAACATGCAGATTAGCTACAACGGTCCTCAACACAGGACATCTCCACTGTGTGAGTAAATCATTTACCTCTTATTTTATTTTATACAGTACTTTATCAGTGTCAGTATCCTAAAGGGGATTCTGATGAGCATGAGGTGTCATTGCATGTCACTAGCTCTTTTTATCAGTTTTAATAGAGAGGTTTTTATAGCTTTACATGTTGTAAAGGCATGCATTTGTGTGATATATTTACATTCTGTAACAGTCTTGTGTTAGTAAGTAGTACGCAGTAGTAAGTATTGTGAAATTACTTGCCTGTAAAAGCTTTGTACCTTGTTACATAAGAAGCTTTTCAGTTCTCCGTATTGTATTTTAGGCAACAGTGAGTCGTGCTCATCAGGAGCTAACTCTTATCTGCTGCTATAGTCTGTTGTCAGAGGGTGTGTTTTCTCATTTCCTGTGTTTCTTATTTCTAAGTTACACCTAATTCTTACCCAAGGCTTGTGCCATCTGTTAAAGGAAGACAAGAAAGCAGAAATTCACAGGTTTCAAGCTGCACTCAGAGAATCAAATGTTGAGAGAAACACAACAATTTACACAAATATTGATGATTGGGATACAACTAGTGACTACTTCTGTATTGCATATTATAAAGAAAGGTAGGCATTGGCAGTCTATTCATTCAAGGTAAAGCAATACAAGGGAAAAGCACTTCTGACATAAGAAATCTAATAATGTATATGGCTGGTAAATAAAATAACATCTAACAAACATTAAGCACATTAATTGCACAATAATTCAAGCGTAAAAACACAGGTATTAGTTGATTTCTGAGGTTAGTATTGGCACTAATCTATGAATAAAAGGAGGTAATATTTGGATTTAAGAGAATGTTACAATTTTGGTATCACTTGTAGTTTTATGTGAATTTTTTCTTTCAATTCATGCTAGCTTGTTTTGAAGATCAACTTGCAGGAAGCTGAAACTTAACAAAATGTGAATGTTTAGTTGATTAATTTCTGTAATACAAATGTAAACCAGGAGTGTTTTAAAAACTTGTGGATGCATTTCTTTCTTCCAGTGCAGTGATGTATCCTCTGGTACTTTCACCAAGCCGGGGAGTTCATTTGTGAGCGAACCAGAACTATAACCACCATGAGCACCGACTCTATCTGCAGGCCAGAGCTGGACTCGGAGAACCCTGGCGAGCTGGCTGACCTGGTGGCAGCCATGAACGTGACCGCCAACCGCATGACGCCTCCTAATGGCTACAGGTCAGGTCCCCCGAGGACCAACAGCTCTCACAGAGGTCGAACCTCAGACAGGAAGATGTCACTGCAGGAGAAGGGGAGCCGCATAGCCCGACAGCGCACCATCGAGACCAAACGTGTGTCCATCACAGATGCTGATGTGAGGACACTTAAAATTATACTCAAGAGTTGGATTTTTGATTCAATTCAACATGTTATTAATGAGATATTTTACTGATTAAATTATCTTTTTATTCTCTGCAGGATTGTGTCCAGCTCAACCAGTATAAGTTGAACCAAGAAATTGGAAAGGTGATCAATCAGTACTATACATAAGCAAGCTGAAACAGAAGTGAATCATTAATAATGCTGTTGTTGTTATTTTTTACACCCTAGGGTTCATACGGAGTGGTGAAATTAGCTTATAATGAAGATTCTGAACAGTACTATGTAAGTTTAAGCTTATAAATTGTTCATTTAGATATTTAGATTGTTTAGATTTTACCTGAACATCATTTGCTTTGACTCATGTCCTTAGGCGATGAAAGTCGTTTCAAAGAAGAGGCTGATGAGGCTGTGTGGATTTTTGCGTGAGTGAAAAAAACATTTAAATGTCTAATGAGCTTCTGTCCTTTTTGTGGTGTTGGTGTTGACATGTTTTTGTCTTTTGTGTGTAATTTCAGGCCGCCTGCCTCCTCAAGGATCAAACTCGCAGCAGGATCCATTCCCTAAAGCCTCGTTGCCTCTGGAGAAAGTGTACAAGGAGATCGCCATCCTGAAGAAGCTGGACCATCATAATGTCGTTAAACTAGTGGAGGTCAGTCAGAGTGCTGTAGTCTTACTGCAGGTTTAAAACACATGTAATGCAGCATGCATGCGTATCTAGCATGTTACAAAGTTTGAGGGCCCCATGAAAGCACTTTGGATAGACTGTAGTTTGACATGTTTCTATGATAAATAGAATATGATAGGAGGTATTTGGTTTACTCCAAAGGTTCTCAGCTTTTTTGGATCCCTAAATGATACACACCAGACCAAAACCCAGAAATATACTACAATGATTATTTTTATAGTACAAATTAATAACTGGACCTCATATATTTGCGTGTGGGATATGAGAATTAATGTGTGTTGCAGGTGCTTGATGATCCTGATGAAGATGGACTTCATATGGGTAGGCATTCATTCAGCTGTTTGTAGTCATTTAATGTAGCTGTGTCAGTAAGTCATTAAATTGTGATTATTTGTCCTCAAGCTTTCGAATTGATGACAAAAGGGTATGTTTTTGTACATTTATGTATTCTGTCATGGTCCTAAACTGTAATAATTAGGGAATTTAAATTGGCTTATAATGTAAAATAAACATATTTCCTGCCTTTCTCCACCTCTCTTGTCTGGCAGTCCAGTGATGGAGGTTCCTACAGATGACCCTTTCACAGAGGACCAGGCTCGCTTTTATTTCAGAGACATCGTCCTGGGGATAGAGTACTGTAAGTTAGGAGTTAAATTTAAATATTTAATAGAGAGTCAAACTACAAATGTATTAATAACCGGCTCATTTTACGCAATAAAAGTGGCTTTTTTGTGTAGAATCTGATAACTTCCAACTTTGGTGCCTTAAAGCAGGAGTTCCCAAACTTTTTCATGTCAAGGACCCCCACGATAGACTCATATTAAACCACAAAGTATGTTTTATTTTTAGGTTTGAAGATAATAAAGTCTTCATAGTCAATTCTATGTCAATCAGTGGTCAAACTGGGATAAAGGCAGATAATATTACTTGCACAGTGGATGGGGCAGTGACTGCTTTATTTAGCTACCATTCAAGACATACTGTACTGTTCAAGACAAAGCAATATATTTTATTATTGCTGGTATTTTCCTTTTTTTTTTTAAAGAAAATAATGCTTATCCTTTGAATTATAAAATATATGGCTAAAATTACCCCCAAAAGCCACCACAGTGCCTTGAAGCACGTCTAAAATGATAAGCAGAGAATCAACGTGCTGACTTCTTTGCACTCTCCACCAGTGCACTACCACAAGATCATCCACAGGGACATTAAACCCTCCAACCTGCTGCTGGGAGACGACGGTCACGTCAAGATCGCAGACTTTGGTGTGAGCAACGAGTTTGAGGGGACGGACGCCCTCCTGTCAAGCACTGCGGGGACACCGGCCTTCATGGCCCCTGAGATGATGACCGAACATGAGCAGTGCTTCAGTGGAAAGGTGAGACAGAATCTGCTCTGTAGGGTCAACCGGGAAAGAGATAATCACTGAAGCACATATGTTCTGGATGTGACTCTTCGTGTCAGACTGAGTTAAATTGTGAGAAATTATCAAGAAATTATGTCCAACCTGTGTCTTTACTGAGAGCTTCTCAGTACTGAGAGCTTCTCAGTAAAGACACAGCCCAGATAATCACTGTGTTTGTTTACCAGGCGTTAGACGTGTGGGCGATGGGAGTCACACTATACTGTTTTGTCTATGGGAAGGTAAGAAAGTTCAAAATACAAAAATTCTAAATTCATTTAGAATTAAAAGCCAGAAAACATTTTAACTATTTAATTGTGTCTGTCCTGTCGCAGTGTCCTTTTTATGACGAATACATCGTCTCTCTGCACAACAAGATCAAGAACAAACCTGTGGAGTTTCCAGAGACGTAAGCAAACATTTACATAGCAGAATGCCTAATAACAACAATGACTGTTTTTCCTGGCAGGTTTTTTATAGGAAACATGTTTGGGAGGATGGCAGCATCTGGCAGCAGATGACTTTGTTATCACATGTTGTAAAGGTGTTACAGTAGATGTGAATATTACAGTATTCAGACTTTTAAAAATATTTTTCTTAATTGGAGAGAAAAAAGTGATTAAAGAAGCAGAAAATGTGTTTGAGTGATATTGGTGATTGTAAAGCAGCATTTCATATTCTCTATTCACTGATGTTGTATTTCTGATAAATGTCCTGATTTAACATACATATTATCATAAACCAGGAGTCTCCCAGCGCAGTCTTGTTTCTTTTTTGTTCATACAAAGCACAGCTGGTAAAACACAGGTGAAATTAATGATGTTTGTTTGTGTAGGTATTGGTTATTTTCCCGGGGGGGGCACCACACATACAGTCGCACACTATAGACAGTTATAAAATCACAATTCCTCAAGAAGTCACAGCAAACTGGATATTTTTGTTTATTAATACAAATAAATAGTACTTTTCAATTAACATAAATCATTGTCTGAATGACCTTAAATAACATATTTAACCATTCTGCACGTTCACACATTTAATTACTAGAAATTATTAAAATACCTTTCACATTCTCTGCTAACAGGAGATTTCTACTTTCACCCAGGTTTACATGCATGTTTAAACAAAATCTTTGAACAAAATGCACTGGCAATGAATTCCACATGACTGACTGAGACTGACAGTTTATGTAGCATGAACACTTAAAGGTAGCTTCCAGAAATTCTTGCTATTCAATGCTGCCAACAATGATTCATTATGTCTGTGTTTGACAAGTACAAATTGCTGTGAAAAGATCTATTCCACTTTTTTCCCTCTTGGTCATGTGCCAGAATCCACTGTCAAAGTCATATTTATCTGTAAAACTGTAACTTTCTTCACAGGCCGCTGATAAGTAATGAATTAAAAGAGCTCATTGAAAGGATGCTGGATAAAAACCCTGAAACAAGAATCACCGTCCCTCAAATTAAGGTGACTGGAAAACACAAATTACTACAGCTGATTAATATTATATAAAAGACTGTACATTTTCTACCAGTTTGTGTTACCTTTCCATAATAATGGTGTGTGTGTTGTTACAGCTCCATCCGTGGGTGACAGAGAACGGCTCCAATCCTCTTCCTCTGGAGGAGGAGCACTGTACAGCGGTGGAGGTCACCGAGGAGGAGGTGCAGAACAGCGTCAAACTCATCCCCAGCCTTTCCACTGTGGTGAGTTGCATGTCGCTTTCTCTCTGGTCACTATTTAACGCTTTGAAGACCCACAATTGGCTGCTGGCTTGAGAATTTAAAATCAGATATCTCAGTTGCAGTATCTACATTTACCTCTTTCAGCTGATTGTAGGCTCCTAAAAATGGTCTTCGCTTATATAAAATCTCAACCATTTACATCTAAAACACTCTCATGTTGCCTTTAAAGTTTTGAAATTAAAACAATTATATGACAGGATAGGTGTCAATATATTATAGCATTTAAAACTATGAAGAGTAAGCACTCAACAGTTGCCAGAAAGTTAAATATATGGAATTTTTAATGGGATTTCATATTTAAAAAACACAAATTGGATATTTAAAAGAATATATTTGATGCGGAGACTTCACAGGCAATATGAAAATGTTCTGTATTTCCATTGAGACTGTCTCTGATATCCACTGCAGATTCTAGTGAAGTCCATGCTGAGGAAGCGGTCTTTCGGTAATCCCTTTGAGTGTCAGGGCAGACGGGCGGAGAGGTCCATGTCTGCCCCTGGAGGTCTTCTTACGTAAGTAGCCTACTCTGCAAATCCCGCCTGCTCCGCTTTGCCAAACTGCCAGCTCTGCGATTAGGCCTCTAACAAAACAAAGCAGCGAGCAGATGCTTGGATAAAAATAGATCAGTTACTTACATACTTTATATGTGCAGTGAATCTCTCATATATTAAATCTACCATCATATCTAGACCCTTAATCTTTGAATACTGACTAGCTCTCATACTGTATTTGTTTTGTTTTGGTCCTTAAATTAGCAGCACACTCAGGCAGATAAAAGCATTTGTCCCTTCCTGATAAACTAAATGGATGCCCCTGTGGCAGCAGTAATGGCTGCACTGCTTTTGTTTTCCATTAACAAGTCAGTCCTGTCTGTGGGGGGCCACTGGCACAGCTAATTACACCTCCATGTGAAGAGATGTGGAGATGCAGCTACAACCTCCTCCACACATGCCCAGGCAGCACCACCAGTCGTACAGCGCTGCAAACTCCCACACAGTGAAATCTGTGCAGATCATGTGATATATGTAAATGGTGAAATCCTACACAACAGTATTTGGATATAATGGCTTAAATAGGATGCTATAATGAAAGGTAAATATTTTACAATTTGAAAAGGCATAGTTTGGCTCTACTGCTGGCTTAAAGAAGAAGATCAAAATGTTTAAATTTGATCTTCTTGGAGGGATGATGTATTGTGGCACTGTGTTCCAGTGATCAAATATTTCGCCTTTCTGCCCACAGTAATAAGGGCGATTTATTCAAGGTTAAACTTTATGTTCAGATCTGATCTCTGGTCAGATCTTGTTTTACAGATTCTGAAGGTTAGCCTGTATGGAGACCCAAAGTGTTCAATATTGAATAAAGTAATTATGAAATGAATAATCATGTGAATAAACACAGCCAAAATGCGTAGTTTATAAAATTGCAACATAATCTAATCATACATATTTAAAACTCAGCTCATTATTGTGAAATGTTATTTAATCCAGCTTCTTTATACAACTACAGAGTTTATTGGAGGTGTTATTTTTAACCCTCCTAGCAGTTGTAATTAATTATCCAATTTCCAATTTCCAATTTCCTAGCAGAGCAGAGCCATTAATGTGATTGGCTGTCCACTCAACAGCTAATCACACAACAGGATCAACTGTGTTCAAAGAGTTGTTGGAAAAAAAAAACAGACCTGCAAGTCTGTTAAAATGTTGAGCTAAATGTACACATACAACATGTATTCTATATATAAATACATTGGTTTATTACATAATTTGTCTATTTATTCACATAATTACTTATTTCATAATGTCTTTTTTATGTATTTGATATCGATTGTATTTAATTTGGGTCTCTATATGTTCTCCAGTGTAAACCAATCATCTATAGAAAAATATACTGATTTCCTGTTAAGCTTAAAGGAACTGACACTTTGGGAAATACGCTTTATTCACTTTCTTGCTGGGATTAAGATGAGAACATTGATAAAACTTTTACATTTGACTGTTAAATAAGCTACAGCCAATTAGCTTAGCTTAGCATAAAGACTGAAAAAAGGCTCTGTCCAAAGGTAACAAAACAGCACCTTTTAAAGCTACACTAATTAACTAAAACATTATATTTCATTAATTTTGTACAAAAAACAAAGTATAAAAAAATTGTGGCCTTTAGTCCACATGACCTATTGTTATTTACATCAATCAGATTAGATTAATTAGTGAGTTTTAGAGGTGCTACTACTGTAGGGTGACTTTGTTACCTTTAAGTGGAGTGAGGCTAGCTGCTTCCCCTGTGGTTACAGTCTTAATGCTGAGCTAAGATAACTGGCTCCTGGCAGACACACAGCGGTATCAATGTTCTCGTTAAACTCTCAACTAGAAAGCAAATAAGCTTATTTTTCCAAGATGTCTGACTATGTCTTTAAACTGCTGCAGTCCTGCTACAATAAAATCTGTTTACAATTAACTGTCTTGCAAAGTAATAAGAATATAAATACATCTCCTTCTTGCAGTGGTACTTGGGGCTTATTGGGGTCTTCGCCTCACCTTCATCCTTCCTTGAGGTAAATTCTATAAAAGCATTTAGGTTGAGCTCATGTACTCCATAGACATCACAGCTCATCAGTGGTTTCTTCAACCCTAAGAGGATTTAAGAGAGACAACACAAAGCTCTCAACAACGAGCTGTACCCAAAATAAATGCGCACACACGCTTGTTGTCGAGTGCTTTGTGTTGACTTTCCTGTCCCTCTTGAGGTTGTTGTGGATAAGGAGTGATGAGCTGTACTGTGGAGGGCATGTACTCTTTGACATTTTCAGTCCCCCCCTCCGTCTCCTCCTCCTCATCTGCAATCTCACTTAGTACCTTCAGCAACATGATCAATCGTTTGTCACCCACAGGAGCGAGGGGAGCAGAGATGGAGAGTTGGAGGACTTGTATGAAGACGATACATTTACAGAGTGTACAGAATGAACTGAAACGTGCACTTCTTCATGTCTTTAATTCTCTCTTAAGTTTGCTTTTGCTTCCTGCTTGCTGTGCTTGCATGCTTTTCTCACAATAGTGCATAAGACTGTGATAATTCTGTGATATATTAAATATTGATAAAAGATGAATAGGTCATTAAACACTTAATAATTAAATATTATTATTATTTAATTATTATTTAAAACATGAGTTAAATAATTATTCAATTATTATTTAAAATATGAATTAAATAATTATTCTGACCCTCGGCTTGTTTACTGTTTTGTTAATATTTAAATTACAGATGGCATGAGTGGTGAATATTATTCATTTACTTTGGATTGTTGTTAAAAATGTAAATATGCTCTATAAAGAAGATATTTTTACATTTTCCTACAGCTGTTGAAGATAATAAACATTCTAATTTCAAACAATGACTTTGAATGACTGAAGAAACAAGCCAGTGATGTTTTTGTGTAAATGCAACTTCTATTACTTGCAGCACCATAGCAGTTCTGTTGTGTTCAATGTTAAACAATAGATGGCGACCTTGTGACAACAGGTGCATTGTGTTCGTTCTGTCTTGGGTTTGTCACCACGCCACGTTTCACCCCTTCAGCCTCAGCCGGCTCCACGTCACCCCCTCCTTCTCTCTCACTCGCCTGTTTGTCTCTCTGTTAGTTCCCCCTATAAAGTTATACTCTTTTTTCTTTTAAAATTTACCACAATAACATTTAAAAATGTCTTTGTATTGAAATCCTAATTCAGGCATACATACACATCGCCATGTATTCTCATCAAACCTTCAAAGATGCCCTGTAGTGACACAGAGGATCTCACATCTGTTAACTCACACTGAAACAAACTGTATTGTTTCAGTATCAAATGCACTTTATTCTCCAGACCAGCAGAGGGCAGCATTGTGTTTCAAGTAAAGAAATCAAGTACACCAATTGGCCCTGAAGTGGAGCCCTGTAACAGCAATAATCTGCCCTGTTGAAGTGCCATTGAGCAAGATACTTACTGCTCCAGGGATGTAACAATTAAAAGATGTTCAAAAACAGCATCCAAAATTAGACACAAAATAAATTTTATCTGTGATGACATAAACTTATTAGCAGCATGTGGTCACGTTCTTGGTTCAGTAAACGCAGAACACACCAGAATGACTCCTCTGCCCTCTCTATGGATGAGTTCCCTTCCAGTAGAGAAGAAGTGATGCAGTGTTATATAGGCACAAAGGCCAAATTAATTGGCCTCTACATGCCTGTAAATAGTTTAAATAGTTAATAGTTTGCTGTGTGTTTTTATTACAGAGTTTATATTTTGAATTTGAGTCACATAATACAATTTTTTTATCTATGAGTGGAGCTGTTTCACAATAAATGCATCACAACCTCAGACAGCCTGAGTTCCCCCACTGTGCTATTTACAGTATGTGCAGGGTTCGCTACCAGGATTTATTTGTGGGGATTATTTTAATATTTCTCATGTCTCCAGGAAAATATGAGGAGAAAAAATTAAAGATGCACCTATTCATGTTGTTCTTTCCCAAGGATAATATCCAATATGTTATATTATTGGGATATTTCACAGACTAAAATCATTCAAAACAGCCAAGCCAATAACAAGTTAAAGAAATGCAATGAAAGATTATAATAAAATCTAAATATCTAATAATAATAACTACAACAACTGTATCCCAGCACTGCTTTCTTCTCTCCTTTAATTGTGCTGCAAAAATAGATGTTTCAGTTCTGAGGATAGGTAGGAGGCATGATGCTGCAAAATGTAACATCTCTGAGTCAGACTGCCACTGCCAGTCACCAGCATACGGATCAGCACAAATTTCAGGTTTATCATGTTGAGCTGTGGTTTGGAGTCTGGAGCTTTATTAAGGTAAACCTACAGGTCCAAACAGGGCCCGAAGGTTTCTCTGGAGGTGTGTAGTAGGTGGAACAATATCTCTGATGGTCTAAGACAGAACAGCACAAAATGAAAAAGAGACAACGGCAACAAGCACAGAGTAGAGCCAAGAGCCTTTGGATGTATTATATAAAATAAACCTGTTTTTTTTAGGCTTAAACATTTAACTGGGAAACAATGTCCATTCCATTCATGTGTGATCAGGACTTTAAAGGAATAGTTACATTTTGGAGAAAATGCTTATTTACTTCCTTTACTGTCTGTGTGATAAATATGAAGCAGAAGACAGAAGCCAGTGAGCGTAGCTTAGCATAAAGACTGGAAGCAAGGGGGATAACAGCTAGCCTGGCTTTGTCTGTTTATAACGTGCTAATTGGTGAGCTTTAGAGGTGAGGTCTAGATCTTCTCCTCTCACTCTAAGCGAGAAGCGAATACATGTGAATGCATCATATCAACAGTATCAGTGGAACACTTAGCATTATGTAACAAATACAGCTGGTTAGTGCACCTATGTATCATTTGCTCTTAATTTGATTCTCCATGAAACTGGGAGGAATAAAGTCATATTATTGTAAAGAGGAAAGCTTGGTGGCGTTTATCATTCAGGACTGACATTAAATTATCTCAATCCTGAACAGTTGGAGACTTGAAGCTGTAGTAGCACATATTCTACCACAGATTAACATCCTCGAGTGCCCTACAGTCTAAAAATGGTTAATCGAATAAACTACATAAACTCTCATGTTAGATTTTGTGTGTCAGCTGCTCCGAAAATATGTTAAAATATGAAATAAAAGAAACTCTTAAGCCCCTGCAAGCTGAAATGGTTCATGAGACCATTTGTATTCCTGCAGTCAGCCCATTTTTCTGCTGTTGCAGTTATGTGAAGACCAAAGAGGAGTGTTTCTGAGCAAAGATTTCTGTGGAAACTGTTGCCATGCAACAGCACAATACTGCGCTCATACAGAGTAGTAACTTCACTGTATGACTGCTCTTTTTCCTGAGCTCACTGCCTGAGTAGTAATGCACCGTTTCTTTTCTATTCTATTTTCTTTATTTTAAAATACAAAATCTTTATTTTTGGGCTGTAACTGTGGGTTGTCATTGTTTCGTGGATAGCCAGAGGAAACTTTGCTTCAACGTCTGGTTCCACACCCTGACTCCCTTTAGTTTCCACACCCAGAGCCAGCAGCAGTTCAGCCTCAGATATTTAGCTAAACACTGACCCTTGGCTCTCACTGTTCACCCTGTATTCCTGTCACCACGCCACGTTTCACCCCTTCAGCCTCAGCCGGCTCCCCGTCACCCCCTCCTTCTCTCTCACTCGCCTGTTATTCACCACGACTGACCCCACTGGCCCCCTGTCAACGGAACTGTACATCCCCTCAAGGCTGCAAAGTGGAGGAAGGGTTTTTTTTTTTCTTCCACCCTGCACTGCTGGGAATCCCCTGTGCCCACATACATAATGAGTCACCAGCTCAGACATCAAACAGACCCACAAACACTGGAAGGTATAATTTGTCAACCAGTCAGCACCTGAGGAGCTAATTGTAAAACAAAGCATGACTGGCTAGACACTGTAAAGGTAAAAGAATACACAGACAGACAGGCAGACAGACAAGACACCTTACACTGAGGAACTGCAGCACAGACAGGACTCTTTCAGGAGTGAATACATTGGAAATACAAAGCAAGAAATGCTGAAAATATTTAAAAGAGCTTCATAATGATGTGCAGGAGTCATTTATCAAATCCAGCATCAACACACAAATCCACGATATCAAAAGTCTTAACAGTTCATTATCACATTGTGAGCCTGTCAGTGGAGGACTTTGAAAATAGATATTACATATAATGTGCAGATTCACACCACATCCTGTGAGACAAGTGATTTATTTCATTCTCACATTTTTTTTCCTGTGTAAAAACATCCATGACAAGCATGACTTTGAACAAAAACCTGAGAGAAATATGTCAACTTTCTCATCCAGATGAGGATAAATTCAGCACATGAGGCTTTGACTGTTCCACTATGTTAAATGAACTTATCAGGTTTTACAGTGTAGAACGACACAGGAACAGGTACAATGCACATTTGTTGTCAGCATGTTCAAAAGGAAAAATGACATAAAATGAAATTATTAAAAAGCAAGCATGTTATACTTTATATTGTCCAAGTGAGAGACAGAGCTGTTGTAAATTTCACAATAATAACAAAATCCCATGTTCTTTTTCTCGTTTTAAAAATCTTAATACGTTTGCAACCATTGCACTTAATGCATTTCCTTCTTCTATCTGTCCTGCAGCTGTTCTCCATTAGTACATCAGTGACTGCAGCAGACTTATTTTTTGTAACAGTGGGACTGAAGATGAAACTAGATTTCTGCCAGCTGAACACGGAGAAAAAAGAAAATAATTTTGTGTTTTTATAGGTAATGCAAGGTATAGGGCATTAGTGCAATCAAAGGAAATCAGAATCAGAATTTGCCAAGTAGGATTTCACATACAAGGAATTTGCCCTGGTAAGATGGTGCAATACACATACAGCAATATAATGCAAGACCTGTCTGAATTGTGTTATGTCTGTTCAGCGTTCTTTATCATTACTCTACCTTACATGAACATAAATGGTGACAGTTTTTTACTTAAATGTCTATCTATATCCTCTACTTTACTCTGCACACTTTAATATTTTTGTTTTTTGTCACACGTCTTGCAGTGGAAAGTCCGCTTCTTGATGAGCAGGTGGTTGTGATGCAGAAGATCTTTATTTTTAAAAAGTATCATGGGAGGAAAAAAATCCTCTAAAAATGTATTTTAGAGGAAACTGGTTAAATGTTTTAAGCTCAAATCACAGTGTGGGCTCACTTGTGTTATGTTGTGTTATTCTGATGATTATGTTATTTTGTCTGGGAACATGGTGTGACTGTGACTCTCCTGCAATGGGAGGCCTTGAAAGAACATGCACAGTGACGTAACTGTGAGACAGCGGGAAGGGGGGGGGGGGACTTAATTTTAGACTCACCTTTTACAAACTTCTGTTCATCACACAAGCCTCTGTAGTTATGAATAATCACCTCCGGTATTATTAGGAATCAGTTTGATCATCACAAATGACAATAGCAAATTGCTAGAGATGACAGCAGTGTTTCTGTATGTTGCAGCCAGATGGAGAGCATTCATTTGGGGGATGAAGCTCTCCAAAAAAAAAAAAATCATGTGATGACACTTACCCACTGCCTGTATCAGATGCAATGTATCCTGCAATGTTTTGGGACAAGTGCTCCCTAAAATAGTCTCTTAAAACCTTCAGCCGAACGTTGTGGCACTTTTTGATAAATAATACAAAGTCTAAATGTTAGCTTGAATAATTCATTTTGCAGCAGTCATGCATAACAGCTGTCTTTGTGCCTGAAAGAGTCCACAGCCCTCTTTGTCCTATCATAACTTAAAGCTGCGAGAGAGAAAATAAATAAATACAAAACATGGTGGAATGGACTTTAAGGAAATATCGGAGTTGATTATTTGTGTTATCCGTGTAATTTCATGTAATGTGTGTTTGTTCAGCTAGGGGTAAAACTGATGAATCAGACTCTCTTAACCGAAGATATGAACTCTCACCATCCATACAGAGGCAGATAGTCTATAGTGGAGGGGCTGTCACATTGATGTCTCTGGTCTACTCACTGTCTACTCACAGGCTGCAGGGAGGCCTATTTATAGATCTGTCTCTGTTCTCTGCTTCTACATCGGTCCTTTCTCTCCATCTCTCTTTTCTCTCTCCTTCCCTCCCTCTAATGGGTTGATATTTCTGGAGCTATGCAACTATTATCTTCTTTGCATCTTTGAGGTGCAGATCACGTTGAATCAGATCATAAACTTTTCCAAAGTCCGACGTGTCGGTCTGTCTGTTTTATAAGGATCTGTGCTCAGAAATAAAATCTCCTTGTGTTTGGTATCAGTGCTGAAAAATAATGATTGACTTAATCCGAGACTTTATTTCTAACACCTGATTGGTGTTAGAGCTGTAATGTTTCACCTCCAGGCCTCCAAAGCCACAAAGCCATCGATCTTTATCCACCCGCTTTGAAATCAGACAAAATATTCTTTGTGTGAACGTCTCAAGTTTTAATTACTTGTGAGCCGAACTTCGGGCTGTTTGTTCTCCAGACGCTGTCACCCAGCGTCCAGTCCACAGAGCTGTCACTTTTGCCCCAGAGCAACTGAGCTAGTCATGACAGCCATGCGGTTTGGTTGATGATGAATAGCTCAACAACGACTGTTAGACGCCTGAGCCACAGGAGGTTAAATGCCTTTTAGTGCAGGAATTTGTAGACAGCATAAAGTGCTGCGTTCAGTGTGGAGTTAACAAAGGAAATCAATAGACTGCAACAAAGCTCAGACCTTGTGATGACCTTTTGACAAAAATCACTGACCTCATGTCTGCTGAATAAAGAACGGCAAACCAAAGACCTGAGAAAACAGGTAATGCAAGTTAAAAAGTCTAAATAAACAACAAGACAAACAGGTTGTTAATGCCTTTATCTGAAACAAGAATAGTTTATAGCCATGCTAGCAGATATGTGAGGCTGTAGTCTACAGGGGTGCTTCGAGCTAAATGCTAACATGCTTGTAACACATGTTTAGCAGGTATAATGTTGAATATTTTCCCTCTCCTAGTTTAGCATGATAGCGTGCTAACGTTTGCTAATTACCACGAAACACAATGCATTTAATAATTGCCAACTCAAAAATGTAGACCAGTCAAGACCAAAGTGGAGGACTAACCATTATCATCCCTATCACCACACCATTAGCATGCCTAAATCATATTACGTTGATGTTAACGAGTTAAAAAGTGATATTAGATGATTGATACCACTCTCATGTATAATATTAAATAAGTAGCCTGACTCTGTCCAAAGGTTTGCTTAATCAGTACAAAAACCAAAATGCAAAAATGACGTATTACATGGGGGATCACGTGCTGAACAATTTACATATGGTCTCCAGTAATAGCTGCCGGAAGCAATAATAACCGGGCTAAAAAATTCCCGTTTCCAATCTTATGCTAAGCTAAGCTAACTGCCTGCTGTTGGCGGCTTCTTGTTTACTAGACAAACATTAGAGTGGTATTGATCTTCTCATCTAAGTCTCAGCAAGAAAGCAAATAAGTGTATTTTTACAAAAACGTCAGAACTGTTTCTTTCAATCCACTGCGTTCATACTCTCCATTTTCCTTTCACTGAACCTGTGATCTTGTACTTGACTGAAAAACAGGAAGGAATGTGCACACACGGCTACCTTTCTACAAACTTGAAATAGCTCATGAAATTCAGAGAGGACAAAAATAACCTACCTGTATCATCTTCTTCATGGCTTCCACGGTTTATGTTTAATCCATCATCAAAGTTATAGATTATTGTCATCGGGACATTTTCAATAGGACGCTGTTGAAAGTGCCATCTTAGTAAACATCCACTAACGCTAACAAGGATTTCGATCCAGTGATTTAGAGGCCGTTCGCCTTTGTGTGACATAATTATGGCTCAATGATCACTTGTGCCTTGTCATCTGGCCTCCCCTCAGGGAAATAAGGCTTCATGTGATGAAAGTGATCAGACAGAGCAGTTATTATAGACGAGGAAGAGCAGCACGGCAGCACAATTTCCTGTTTTGTGTGTATCCTGTGACCTTTAAAACATAATCTTCTCCAGGGATCTAGATTACATTGATTAAATTAACTGGTTTGAATAAATATGTGTTTAATGTAAACAGCATTATTTATACATTATTTTATGAGGGATATGTATTTAGTTTTATCTTGATTTGACAGAATTTGTCATGAAAAGTGCTAAATTGAATTTGTAGCTGCTGGAGATTCAATTACATGTCCATCAGTGGGCCCCAGTGTGTTTTGGGATGTGTAATGTCACCAACATTTACCAATAACGATGACACCGATGTCGCCCAAAGTGTAGCAGTGCATTAAAAACACAGGCTGGAAGATAGGTTGGTGCTGAATCCTAATGCCTCCTGTGTGCTTTGAGCTTTCATTTTTTACAGGATGCAATAGGTGTCTGAGCAGTGCAGCAAGGAGCCGAGCTAATAGTGGGATACTTATTATAGCCCTAGCAACAGGAACGGGATTGGTGGCTGCGGAGAGGGAGCCTGTCAGCTATTGGCTGCTGAGGAGGACCGCTCAAAGCACAGAATTTCATCTCATGAAAGGTTCAGTGCAGCAAGCTGCAGCAAGAGGCTGCAGTCTGAGAGTGGGCGATCCAGCAGTTTGCCACTTCAGCTTATCAATCAGTGTGAGGGCTCAACTCCCAGTTTGAAACACACAGATATGCATAATTACTCAGATAAACTTGAGCTTTGGAGTGTAAAAATATGACTTGCACGTACAAAGAGAAGCAGATTCTCCTTCCATTGTTCATCATGAGATGCAGGATCTTGTTTTATTGCAGCGCTCCTCTGCTGTGATCATAAAATCTGTTGTCTTTTGAAGCAATATTCTTTGATCTACGCCCTAATTTAGTTAATGATTAGCAAAGCGGCCTTAAAAAGAGCCTCATTTAAGACATACTGTAGTTGTTGTGTTAGCTGGCACTGTCTCTGCACTGCAGCTAATACAGCCTCCATCTCATACGTTCACCCACAGACCCTCAACACAAGCAGTCGTGCAGGCATATACAATACACACCATCCAAATATGGATGCATGCACACAAACATACCACACACACCTTTTATGTGACCCACAAAGGGTTACCTATGGTCAAATGGACTTCCTATATCAATGTGTCGGCTTTAAAACTCAACAGAAATGTTTAAAATCTGTTCACTAATGAAAAGGAATGAGTTGTGGTGTTTCTGGTATGACTGTAAATGGCTACATTACAGAGAGAAATGAAAATAAAGAATAATACCGATAAACAAATAACTTTAATGGGCAACAGATGGCAACCAAAAATTCCTCAGAGCATACAATTTGTATCTCATTTTCATCTATCGCCCACCTTTCCCCTTGCTAATTTCCAGTAGGTCAGCTCTTCTCAAATCTGATTTGTGATTAAAATATAATTTATTTTCTCCTCATTTCTTGTATTTGTATGTTTTCATGTCACATAAAACAAGGATCAACATCCAAATTAATGAAAACTTAAAAATAAAAACACAAACCACAGGAGGTAGCCCTGACAAATGAATTAAAAGGGAACACAATGCATGTATTCTTGGCAATGAGTGAAAGTCTCCTGACATGGTTCTTCAAAACATATTGAAACAGAAAAAAAAGTGAGAAAAATAAATTCAGTTTCCACTTGTTTTAACAAACAAAACTTAAACATGAAAGTGATTTGACTCCATTCAAATATTCATAAGCAGTGTGAGCAGTTGTGCAGATTAGGATTTCATGCTATTTGTCTGGCGAGCCTTTGAGACCATCAACTTTATACTACGTTAAAAATAAATCAAAGCAGCTGTGACATACAGTGTGAGCTCACGGAGGCTGACTCATGACGGTGACATAATTGGCATACATGAACGAGGTTGTGTGACTGACCTTAAGGCTTCTGGTTTCTCTCTTAAGCCATCACATCTGAGATAAAAAATAAAAGTCCCCCAAAACTGCCATCTGTATGAATATATTAATGTAATAATCTATAGAACTAGCAGCATTATGAAGACAAATCCGTTCAGCAGCTTTCTGTGCTCTTAAGCAGCTTCCTAGTGTCTAACGTTTGTTCTGAAGAGTTCTCACATTTGCTAATCAATAACCAATTCTAGTGAATTGCCTACATGCTTTCCCTGTGACTCTATTTGTGCATTGGTGTTGAATATTCATATCTATGTGCTGTACAGAGAGCAGTACTGTCCAACACACGTAAAAGTGAGGAACCATTGAAGGGAAAATATTACATCTTGCACACATGCTTGCAGGAACTTCAAATACTGGCAGATAAATCCTTTTTTTCTGTAAAGGTTAACTTGCAAATGAGGCATATCAAATAATGATACAGGCACAAAAAGAAAGCACATACTGTACTCTGGGCACAAAACAGAAGTGTCAAAACATTTTTTTTTTCTATGAAATGGTTTTCCTTAAAAACAAAATTGTCTTATGGGTGACGATACAACAATACACTAGACCACCACGGAAATGGTGCATGTATAATTTAGTCATATTCTTTTTTATTATCATAGCTATTATTTCGGTTCTTGTGCAACTGCTACATAATGACTCACATTCAAGATATTTTGTCACTCAGGAACAGCTAAAATGTATAAAAACAAACAAACCAAAAAAAATTTATACTGTCAGAAAAAAATATGGTCCATGTTTGTGAATTCATAACAGAAACATTGAGCCTGAAAACTTCACCATTAGTAAAACTGGATAGCATGACAGAAAAAGTACTTAAATACTGTTCAAAGAACAAAATATATCATAATCATACTTCAATGTGACAAACACCAGCTGGTAAGATTAAGTGATCACTGGTGAGTTTTTATCTTCCTTTTTTTTTCTTTCATTAACAAATGAAATACACATATTGCATGTCACTATAGCAACGCCCATTACAGGTCAATTTTTACGATCACCATTTTGGTATAGCAAATCAAAAAACCATAACAAAACGAAATAAATTAGAAATTAGAAATCAACATCAGACAAAGCCTGTTTTTCTCAATCATATGAATACTTAACACCCACAGTATAAGTTAATAAAGTCAAGCTACTGTATATAAATACATCACCAGCATGCACAATATTGAATAATCGATATTATTGTTGTCATCATCTTACACTGAAGAAACAGTATAGTAGGCAAGTGCATTTAATAAAACAAACACAGAAGTAAACCACAAACTCTGAAGCTGCTTTTATTTATTTTTTTTGTCATTTTTTTGTTTTATATTGTTAAGTCTCTGCCTTTAGTAACCTTCACCTCCAAAAGAATCTATGGTTCCAGTGACATAACAGAATAATCTGCGAGATGCCAAATACACTTCAGACAGAAGAAGGGGAATTAATTTTACTATCCAGTCCTCATTCTCACTCCTGTGTAATTTATCCTTTAAAATTTTTACTTCGGGGGGGGGGGGGATTAATCGGTTTAAAACTTTTCTCTTTTTTCTCGTTCTAAGCGTGAGTTTAACATCAATGGCTTTCAGGGCCCTTTCTCATATATATAGACTACTACTGGAACCAATGCAAACTAGTTTTGTGAGGCATTCCCATTCAAGCATTTTCTCTCTCAAGTGACTCAAATGCATCTCTATCACGCAAAAACCTAACTAAGCAGCTTATCTTGACAGAACAAGATCAGTTCCTATGCCAGTGTGAGGCTGCCATTTCAATCCAACAACAACCACTTCAGGCTGATTGACTGACATATCAGTGGTTTTGGCAAATGTCAAAGAGAAAATCAAGAAGACGGAGGCCCCTTTCAACTGTATATATATTTCTATATATATTTAAACTAAGATTTAACCTCCACTCTCACCTCTCTTTTGATTCTTTTCTTTTAACACATGGAAAAATAAAGAACTGCTGCTGCGGTAGTATCATCGGCAAAAGCGGCTGCCAAAGTCTACCGGCCCTTCATATATTTTTTTTCGAAATGTGGTTTCTCTTTAATTGTTGCCCTCCCCTCCCTCGTCATCCTGCTGGTCACTTGTCCACAGTGTCAAGTTGTCTCGGAGCAGCTGCATGATGAGAGTGGAGTCTTTGTAGGAGTCCTCGTTGAGGGTGTCGAGCTCGGCGATGGCGTCGTCGAAGGCGGTCTTGGCCAGATGACAGGCCTGCTCCGGGGCATTCTGGATCTCGTAGTAAAACACAGAGTAGTTGAGAGCTAAGCCCAGGCGGATGGGGTGGGTGGGCTGCATGTGCTCCTTGCTGATCTCGTGGGCCTCGTTGTAGGCCTTCTCTGAAGACTCCACCACCGTGGCCCTCTTCTCCCCCGTGGCCACCTCGGCCAGGTACCGGTAGTAGTCGCCCTTCATCTTCAGGTAGAACACCTTGCTCTCGTGCTGCGTCTCGCTGCAGTTCTTGATCAGGAAGTTGTCCAGAAGGTTGAGCACATCCTGGCACACGGCCTCCAGCTCCTTCTCAATCTTCTCCCGGTAGGCCCTGACCATCTCAATCTTCTTCTCATTGCCGTCGGCCGAGGTCTTCTGCTCAATGCTGGAGATCACCCTCCAGGAGGAGCGACGGGCACCGACCACGTTCTTGTATGCCACGGACAAGAGGTTCCTCTCCTCGTTGGACAGGGCCTCGTTCAGCTCTGTTACCTGGAAGAAGGAAATGGACCATTTAATGACAGGAGCACAAACCTTGATTAACGGCAGCGGACTGCATTAACATTTTACAAAAAATAATCATCCAAGAAAATCTGGCAATATTACTAGATCTGGCAACTCTTTTTGGCAAAAATACCAATCATTTTATGGTTCCAATTTCTAAAAAAGTGCAGATTTTCTCCTTTTCATTGTTTTATATCTCAATATTAAATATCTTTTAGTTTTGAATTTTGCGAAAAGAAAGAGGCCATTTTAAGATGCCACAATGGGGGCCCCACTGTGGCTTCAGGGTTAACACGTCGACAGCAAACTGCAACGACCCTGAATCGAGCCTGGCCAGGGACCTTTGTTGCATCTCTCGTTTCCTGTCATCTCTCTACTAATGTCTTTAATGAAGGTATAGAAAATATACTTAAAAAACAAATAAGGACATTTGCAATGGGTATTTTTGTAAGTTTTACAAACCAAATGATTAATCAAATAACCAAGAAAATGATCAACAGAATAATGATGAAAAAATATGATGAAAATAATTGTTAGCTCCTGCGCTAATTATTAAAAAGCACGTTCTTTTATGTGAAAGACTCTGGACTAACAGCTCAACAGAAGATGAGCAATATTACACTTGTCATGTGCACTTCCCAGTTTCCATGCCAATCCATTCATTTAGTGCACTAGTAGCTCCAGCTGCCACGTGGACAGCGAATGCTAGTTAGTGAGAAAAATATTCAAGATAGTCGGTGGCGGTGGGGGGTTGGGAAAGGAAAGGAAAGGAGGGCTGGGGATGGCTAAAATGTTCCCACGAGCACTCCAGGGCAGCTGCACTGTAAGTGAAAACCATCACTGCACAGGCGGTTCACATGTCCCAGTGACCTTCTCTCTGGCTCAAACTGACCTTTTTACCTGTCTAAAACACCACGCCGTGACATCACTCTGAGCTAGACTGTTAAATTTAGATTTTGACAGATCAGTTTGATAGTTGGGTGGTTTTCAAAGAGCTTATGTTACTATAAAAAGGCTTCATTACTCAGGGTTATTTGATTGGAAAAGCAGCCTTGATTTCAAACATGGCCTCTGTCAGATCAATAATCAAGGATAAATTTATTAATAACTGCTCAGGGACTGAAATATATTTAAAAAAAGAAAAATATAGCTTGGGTTTCAACTGCTTTTTATCTAAAAAAGCTCCTCTTTGATGTGCTCAGATTTCTCATTTGTCAGTTTTGACATTCTCTGCTCAGGCAGAGGAGCACAAAGATGGCGCAGGATCGCCGACGTCACACACACTGAGTGGATGGAGAGCCGAGCTCAACCTATAGAGAAGGAGGCGCCTTCGTTCTGCTTGTCCAAAACTGTAACACAAACCTACACATGCAAACGATCAAACATGTGAAATTTACAGTCGAATGTTCGATTTCTCCTCGTCAAATGACTCAAGGAAACAAATAGGTCATCCCTCTAAATATAATGCGCTGATGTTTGGGAAGCTTACTACTGTGTCAATTGGATTACAGTTATGCTGTTAAAAAAATAGCTGATAATGCATCAGACTGACACAAATATCGTGATTTCAAGGGCTGACATTAACTATAATCCATGGCAACTACCATAAGCCAACATGCACATAATCAATTAGTTGATTGAAAGAAAACTAATCTGCAACTAATTTGATAAGTGATGAATCATTTTAAGTATTTTTTCAGGCAAACCTCCACCAGTTTCAGCTCCACAAATGTTAATATTGTCTGTCTTTGATGGTAGTAATCTACCTTTTCTCTTTACTCTAATTGGTATATATAAAAACTAAAATCTCTAGGCTATATTTTCCATGTGACCCTCTTAAAATGTCTCAATGTCTCTCGAACAGTCAGTTAATCAATAATAAATATAATCGTTGGTTGCATATCCATAAACGATACTTTTTTTCCACGAAGAACACGAAGGTTATCACTCTTCGTTTGTCATTTCTGGCTGCAATGGCAAGGGATTCCCTTCGATTATAGAGTGAGAGTACACACCCCTGCAAAAGGGCCCAGTTTGGACCGCACTGACAAGGCAGATTGTTTAAAGGGAAAGGAATCCCTCCCTGCCTGCACACACATCATCCCACCTCCTGCAACCAGAAACCCTCGATGACAAACCGTCCACAGGGGGCTCTCTCCATCTCCCCCTGAGGAACATAAGGCAAAATGTTCCTAGTTTTTTTTTTTTTTTTTTTAAGTACGTATGACAATTTTAATCTACATGTGAGCTCATATAGGCCCGGCTATGACTCCCAGGATGCTATCGGTTCCAGTATGAGCTGGTGTGACACAGCAGTTTTTTTTTAACCCACTAGTGAATCCAATTCCCAGAATTTCTTAAGGGGGCAGAGAAGAGGAAGGAAAAAAAAGCAGACAAAGGCTCTGTCCTCAGCACCGGCCAATAAGAGCTGAGAAAGCTCCTGTGAGGCTGGCCACCCATGTCATCCTCTTTGCATCAAATATTACAGCACTTAATCAGAGTCATTAACCCAAAATGACTTCAAATTGCTGCTAGATATCAGGAGGAACCCACCATACACGGATGCACGTATGAGGAATGAAGTGAACAAAAGTGGAGAAAACAAAGCCCACAAATCAAATCTGATCATATTGACTCACTGCAATATGACAAAGAATATTCTAGAGAGAGTCTACTGCCTCCTACGTTTGTTTGGAGGAAAGAGCAGTTTGAGGGCTCCTTTTGGAGCATTTTTATAAAGCAGTCATGCCCCCCCCCCCAGCATCTAAGCCTTGTATACCAGTCTGAAAGATTAGCATATTTTAAATGATGTATAGTATTTTTAATTAATGTGACAAAGAGAGGAAGAAGAAGAAGAGGAAGAGGAGGAGGAGGGAGGGGGCAGCAGTTGATGGGCTTTTTCCGAGCAACCTCACATGGCTCCCAGCAGCAGCAGCTTTTATAAAGGAAGGAGGGGAGGTTGGTAAAAAGGAAGAAGAAAAAAAAGTAAAAAAAAAAAAAAATAGAGCAGAGCCGTTATAAGATATGAGGCTCTGATTAACCGAGAGATAAAGATCAGGCCTGTGTGCATTTCATTGTAATATCCCTTCATTGAACGGCAACGGCCGACAGAAAGGCACCGCCCAAGGAGCAGACGATTTGGACTCGACTCAGGAAAAAAAAAGCACTGAGCTGTCGATGAATTGGCGACGAGACAATAAAGATATTAAACATAATTAATCTAAGATGTCTAATTGCAGTGCGGTAATATCAAGCCGGTGTAAGCAACCGGATTTTACAGCCAACACAGTCTAGAGACTGCGGGACGAGCCTTAACGCAAAGAGCGCACAGGTGAAAAAAAAAAAAACATCATCCATACACATTAAGTCATAATTATTATCTTCTTCTTTTTTTTTTAATGGACTTACCGATTTCATAGCAGCTGCCATATCATCATATCTCTCAGCCTGTTCAGCCAGCCTGGCTTTCTGCACCAGCTGCTCGCGATCAACCATGTTTTAAATGATATTTAAGTTGCTTTGTCGAGCTGCTCTACTTGGGTTTTTTGGGGACGAAATGATTGATATTTTAAATCGCAATGCAGTGAAATCCTACGCGAACCTAATGCTGCAGCTGTTCTCTGCTGTCTGTCTGTTTCTCCGTGCAGACGGGACACCCTCTCCTCTCTTCCCTCCCTTCCTCACCCCTCCTCCTCCTCCTCACACACTCTCCCTGGGCTGCGTCATCACTCAGAAAGGTGGGTGTCTGTGCCAATGATGTAACACTCCATACATGGGAACCAGAGGGTATAGGGGATGGATGGATGGATGGATGGGAGCAGCTGGGCGAAAGGCCTTGTGGGTAATGGAGTCTCCTGGAGGGAGGGGGGGGGTGACACAGCATCTTATTGTTGGGGCTGAAGTATGATGGTTCAACCTGCGTTTGGCTGCATTTTTTGGTCCATGTCGAAGAGAGAGTCCGATACAGAGGTGCCACAAATTCATTGTTCCACATGAATCCCACATTGTCCAAATCTGGACCAAAAATTCAATATAATCCAGAACTGAACACAATTTTCAGGGCAAGCAGGAGCTTTGGAAGAAGTATTACTTGAAGAAGTATTCAAATCCTTAACTTGAGTAAAGTTAAGTAATAGCAATACCACAGTGTAAAAATACATCGTAGGAAGAATAAGTCATGCATTCATAGTATTGAATAATATAATATCATAATTATTCTTATTGCCTGCCACTGGGTCAGATTCGGTCAATTCCCCTTCAAATCAGTGAAATGTGGGGCGGAAACACTGGCGCTTTGTCCACAGGGGTCGCCAGAATCAACAAAATGAAAGTTGCTTGTTGCTGCTTTGAAGGACCAGTGTGTCATTGCAGATTGCAAGTAATATAATAATAATATTTATTTTATATTTTATTTTTACTTTATTTTGTACAATAAAGTATAAAGTACCAATGAAACAAACAAAAAAAATTAGTACAAGTACAATACTTTGTATGCACTGCACGAATGCACTTTGTTACTTTCCACCCCTTGTTTTCAAAGGTAAGAGCCCATGGCTAAAAAAGTGAAAAGGTATTTTCAAAACTGCTCAATGCTAAGAAAAGAATGATTGGTTGATTGATTGATTGATTGATTTAATTATGAGTTGACGGAGAAATACTAATTCATTCTATCCAAGTAAAGCACAAGACCAATCTGCATAATTTACAATGAAACCGTAATTAATTAATTCGTTATCACAAGAAAACGATCTTTGTTATGTCGAGATAACGAAATAATTAATTCTCAAGAAAACAAACTTTGGTACAAGAGCTGCCACGAATGGCTTCCGTAGCCACTGGCTGTAGCTG